TTAAAGTTGCCAAGTTTGAAGACCCCTGGTGTAGGGTGCTTTTGCTTTGACTTCTCAAGTAGGCCAAATGATGCATATCATCACCATCTCTGGGTAATCCTCTTTCTTTGACTCTCTTGGTTTCCATTAATTTAGTGGAGGAGAAGGACTGGCTAAGCCTGGGGTTGGAGTCAAAAGAGAAATCAACCCAGAGTCTCTATATAGCTACAAACAAAGTCCAACCCCTCTTGGATTCTGTTGACCCTTATCTAATGCCATGGTAGTGTTAACCGTTGAGTAGATATGAAAGATCAGGACCACAAGTGAAAATCCAATTAAACGGATTGATTACTAATCATGCCTTCTCACAAGAATCTACTCAACTAATGGTTAGCACTATCTTGGCGTTAGATAAGGTTCAAGAGGGGTTGGATTTTGTTTGTGGCTATGTAGAGACTCTAGGCTGATTCCTCTTTTGACCCCAACCACAGGCTCAGCCAGCCCTTCTACATTTACAAAGATTCATCCACCTATGCCAGGGGTAGGCAACCTTGGCTCTTTTATGACTCGTGGACTTCAACTCCCAGAATTCCTGAGCCAGCATGGCTCAGCTTGGAAACCTCTCCCTTTCCCCTCAGCATGGCTGGCTCAGGAATTCTGGGAGTTGAAGTCCACGAGTCATAAAAGAGCCAAGGTTGCCTACCCCTGCCTAAATGCCTGAATGTTGATCACGTGACCGTGAGGAAAAAATATTTAAATATTTAAACCAGGGGTCTTCAAACTTGGCCCTTTTATGACTCGTGGACTTCAACTCCCAGAATTCCTAAGTTAACATGGGGGAACTATGGCCCCTTCATGACTTGTGGACTTCAACTCCCAGAATTCCTAAGTTAACATGGGGGAACTATGGCCCCTTCATGACTTGTGGACTTCAACTCCCAGAATTCCTGAGCCAGCATGGCTGAGCCTGGAAACCTCTCCCTTTCCCCTCAGCATGGCTGGCTCAGGAATTCTGGGAGTTGAAGTCCACCAGTCATAAAAGAGCCAAGGTTGCCTACCCCTGATCTGGGTGATCAGAGAGGTGTTTGGAGGCTAGAAACAGATATCAGCACACCAGCAATTCCAGCAATGGTGTTTTCTGCTACCTTCAACAATCAAGTGAGCTCAAGAACATCCTAACAAATTCTCGTGGACCTCCCAAGAATAAGGTAGACAAAACCTTTTTCAGGGAGGGGAGAATTTTAGAAAAATGACTGTCTGTCACAACACTAAGGTGGGTTTCAATCTCCAGACTGAAATTCACTTCTGCCCAAGAAAATCCATCAGCTCTTCTGCAAAATCCAGATAGTTATATCAGTTTGTTTTTCTTCTTCTGCCTTATCTCCACCCATTCTTGGCCCTGTAATTATGATTGTGACAAGCCTGTTTATTCAACGTCATCAGGACTTCTCTATTTATGAGGTCTTCCATGTTTATATTTTTAGCCTCCTTCTACCAGGACTCTTCTGCTTTCTCTTTCCCTACCAACAGAACCCTGTAATTGTCAAGGCTATTTTTTTTTTCCTGCCAGAAAAGCGTGCCAGCTGCATTACATGGCAGAAAATACAAGCGTGCAAGATAATGCATGATGCCAAATTCTCCTAGAAGGAGCCACGGATTGAGGAAAGATACACGCAAGCTTGAATTACATAATATTCTCCCCCCTCTGGAATTGTGCTTGGATGGTCGTCTTCAAGTGTAATGTCCCAATTAAATACACAATATAATTTCTGTATCTCAACTGGGACAGTAGATTTTGAAACGCTTGCTTCCATCCTTTGATTCAACTTTCCTGTGCGATTGAGCAAACAAGCTATCTCTGGGCCAGCCTTGGCAAGCCCAGCTGTCTTATGCAGTCCTCAAAACATGCAAAGAGCTATCACAAAAGAAAAGCCAGGACTTTCCCTATTAGTCAGGCCCCTTCTTTGCAGAAGTGAAATTGACAAAGCTTGGTCAGTCGGTTTCCTTGGCTTCAAAAACCAGGAGGAGGATTTCTGTTGAAAAAGGGATTTTATGCACCCGTCTTTCCCAACTGGTCTTCAAGTGAGTTTAGAATTACATTTTTTCAGGATCGTTGGCCAGCAGTGAGGGCTGAAAATGTTGGAAGCTGTAACCCCAAGAGATCTGGAGAAGGTTATGTTGGTCTATGTGTTCCCATTGAATTCGTCACTGGAAGTTCCTTCTCAAAAAGGTATAAATGATTAGGGGACTGGAGGCTAAAACATATAAAGAACAGTTGCAGGAATTGGGTATGTCTAATTTAATGAAAAGAAGGACGAGGGATAGCAGTCTTCCAATATCTAAGGGGCTGCCACAAAGAAGAGGGGTCAACCTATTCTCCAAAGCAGGGGTCCCCAACCCCTGGTCCATGGACTGGTACCGGGCCGCAGCATGCCAGCAACTGGTCCGCACAAACAAGCAAAGCCCCATCTGCGAGATGCAGGCATCACACAAAACCACACTCTCTCTGGTCTGCAGAAAAACCTCTCCACCGAACCGGTCCCTGGTGCCCAAAAGGTTGGGGACCTCTGCTCCAAAGCACCAGAAGGCAGGACAAGAAGCACCAGATGGAAACTAATCAAGGAGAGAAGCAACCTAGAACTAAGGAGAAATTTCCTAGCAGTGAGAACAATTAACCAGTGGAACAACCTGCCTCCAGAAGTTGTGGGTGCTCCAACACTGAAGGTTTTAAAGAAGAGATTGGGCAGCCATTTGTCCAAAATGGTATAGAGTCTCCTGCTTGAGCAGGGGGTTGGGCTAGAAGACCTTCAAGGTCCCTTCCAACTCTGCTATTCTGTTAAATTACACTAACTAATCAGTAGGGCTAGACCAGTGATGGCGAACCTTTTAGAGACCGAGTGCCCAAACTGCAACCCAAAACCCACTTATGCATCGTCGGGTGCCGGGTGGGTGTGGCCCATTGGGTGGGGGTGGCTGCGGTGGTAACGGCAGACTGGGTGGGACTAAAAAGTTCAATCAATCAATTCCAACTTTGCAAGATCTTTTTTTTCCCGCGAGAAGTTGAAATTGACTGATTGATTGAACCTTTTTTTTTTTTTGTACACGGCGGCAGAGGCCTAAAGCGAAAAGGTTTTATAAAACTCAGCTGAAGGCCTAGGACTGGGGCGAGGGCGCGCGTGCCCACAGAGAGGGCTCTGAGTGCCGCCTCTGGCACCCGTGCCATAGGTTTGCCACCACGGGGCTAGGGAAACTGCCCAACCCTCTTCCACCAGAGAAAAGAGTGGTTTCTCTTTGGCCTGATCATTCTTTCCCCTTGGCCTAATGACATCTTGTTGGTCTCTGGAAAGAAGATGGTGTAAACTGAGAACCACAATCCAATCAGTCCTAATGCACAGCCATCCAGCCAACCTTGCATAATGGAGTCATCCCGCCAAAGGAAACAGATGGCCAGCTGGGCCGCAACAGAGGCATCCTATTCTGAAGGGGGGAGATCAGGAAGTGAGGAATGATACACGCAAGTGAGGAATGATACACACAAAGAGACAGACGCCCTTTGGAACTGGCATCCCCACCAAAGGCTGGGAAATGCTGCAGTCCAGATGTCACAAAGTTAGATTGGGTTGATTGCTCCAACTGAGCCCAAGATACGGCTTTTGCACTCTTGTGCATCCAGACCTGAGGAGGGAGCCCACAATCTGCTTTGCTTTGCCAACTTCACCACATCCACCCCACGTGGTCATTTGTCTGCCT